ACAAAACCTAACATGTAAAAATGAAAGTTGTAATTTAACCAGGGCTAATTTACAAGTGCATTTCTTGGCTAACAGCAGTGGGGAAGTGCTGCTGTAACTGTAATGAGTCTGTCAGGTTGAGTATCTAACACAGTTTATCAGTTCATAAATAGGAGTTAATACATTTTCAAACACATCCTACAAAGGAAACATACTCCCTGATTTAAATGTGGCCTCTGTCCCTTCAAAGTTATCTTTTTTGTGCAGTGATGGAACCCCTCAGTGGTCTCTTCAACATTTTGATGTCTGCCTGGAACTCCTGTTCTGAACAATTTAAGGTTTGCATTTGTGATTCTACGAGATCCCTCCCACTGTGCCAACACACCAAAGAAAAGGCACACAGTTCAGCTCATTTTCACCAATTTTCCCTCTCAGATGCTTCAGGATGTTAGAAGTGTTTGACCCTCGGGGGAACCAATTTATGATGCAAACATGTTAATGTCACAATAAAATTACAAGCACGCTCTGGGTCACACTCTGAGCCTGGTGTGTCTACTTCATGTTTGGAGACTGCAGGCTGCTCTGCAGGAAACTGCTGTTTGGTTTGAAATCCAAAGCTCATCGCTGGTGATGATTCTGGACATTCAAGCATAGCAGGAATGCTGGGAGCACTGTATGACTGCAAGAGCTGACAACCTTGAAGGGAATAACATCTCAATTCATGGGAGCACTCACTCAAGCATTTGATCATGTCTCATAAAACTGAAATGTTAATAAATGTAGAAAATGCTTTGATTTTTTTTCATCAAATAACACACTATGTCAGAAAGTTTTTTAAAAACACTTGACTTGTTTTTCTGTTGCCTGTTTAATCCACTAAACGGTTCATTTCCTCTGCCAACATTTTGTTTTTATTGCTTTCTCTTTGTATCGCCCTCTGATACCATCCATGTCCAAGTCCTCATCATTAACAGGCCGGATCACCAAACTGTCCGCTGTAAGCAGCCCACTTAATCCTCTGATGGGAGTACTGGCTATCTTCCACAATCATCTCTCCGGGTTAATGTCTGTCGCAGGCTGGTGTGTGTGTGTGTATGTGTGTGTGCGTGTGTGCATGTGTGCGTGTGTGTGAGCCAGGATATTTGTCACACACAACCGACACTACTTAAATCTGAAGGCACTTTGTACTGTACACTCACACTCTGCCTGTGTCCTCCAGGGTAGAGGTGCCTCATTAGCCAAACAGGCATAAAACACTGCATGTCCAAATGGAGGGGTTTTATGCTGAATGCATACTAAACACGGTTACATAAGGAGCAACGATCAGTGTGACCCATAAAACATCCATTTTTTTAGGCATATAAATGTCATCTATACATCTGGTCAACGCATTCCACTGAAAGCCCGCATTCTCTTAAATCAGACTTAGTCGTTTTAGGATAAAAGTACCTCATCAACAAATCCCAGCTCAGAAGAGTTTTACTTTCAAACGTACATAACACCACAGTACAGTACCTTACATTGTTTTTTGCAACTGTTTTTGAACACTTCTCTGTTTGTCTCGACCAAAAATATTGTGGTGTGCAGTTAAATTTGTGCTAAAATGCTGATTCCTGATGCTGTGTACTAAAATCCTGTACAGTGATGAGAATCCCAAACAAAACTATAAACTAACTGGTTTATTTTACACCTAAAGGCAGGAGGAGTTTTCTTTGAAAGAAGTAACCAATGCCTCCCATACCTAGACTTTATTGAGCCAGGTCACCTAAGAATAATAACACCCACCATAGAACATTTTTGTATATTTATGGCATTTTTGTCATTTAACGGGCAACAGTCCCCTTGCTTTTACTGACAGGCTGACCTGAGTGCTTTTGTGGCAGTTATCATTCAGCTGTCTCTCCAGAGGGTCTGTCCTTTCATGGTCAGACAGATTCCAATCATAGTTCTTGTTCTGCTCTTGAACTCTAAGCAGTGGATTTATTATTATATAGTATTCAGAAAATTATCATATATTAATTAATATTATAACATAATATAGACTAGAGATCTGCTGCAGTGAGCTGGCAGACTATCAGAATTAAAGCAAAAATTCAATCACGTAAGTCACATGACTGCTTCCACCCTGATTGTTGATCTGCCAGAGGTCTTTTCATGTTAAAAGGGAGTCCTTCCTCTCCATTATTGCCAGGTGCTCACACACAGGGGATTGTTTGATTGCTGTAATATTGTAGTCTTCACCTTTAAAGGTGCAGTGTGTTAAATCTCACCACTAGATGTCAGTAAATTGCAGATTGCATTTCCTGAATTCTGTCCTCTTACCCTTCCCAGTTCAGTTGTATAATCTTAGTTACAGAGGCCAACAGCTCTGGCCTTCACTCATCTGTAGTGAGGGTATACTGTCAGTCCCACGTTCACCTCAGCTGTCAGTAGTGGGTGTCCGTGTCTATTTACTCTGGAGGAGTCTGTAAAATTTTGTGAAGTGAATCTAACCTTGTTGGACTTGGACACTAAAAAAACATCATATGATGTGAGAATGTAATCAAATCGTTTATCAGAGAGAAAGTGTGATTTTTAGCACACTCAAGCCTAACATTAGCTGGCATAATTTTAGCTTTAGCCAGCTCACTGTCAGCTGTCCTGAGACGGACGGCTATTCTGCTGACAATGGAATAAATAAGATGTTTAGGGACATTTTAGTGTGTTAGAGCCCTGATGTCGGTGCAGAAGATGATGTGTGAAGTGAGGAGGAAGAGCATGAGGTGGAAATGAGAGAGAAGAGAGGACAATGGTGGATGAGAAAGAGAGGATGAAAATATACATGTTATTTATGATCTTTAAATTAAAAATAACTTATAAGTTGTGCTACATATATGCCACTTTCTAGTCACATACGTAAAATGCTATTAGGGGTCACGGTGATGTTCGTCTTGGCCACTAAATTTAAGATGGCAAGACAACATGATGGCTTCCACAAAACAGCACCTGCTCCTGTGTATTTTTAATTAATTTATTCTACATTTATGAGAACATATCTATTTGTATATCTATGAGCACAATATGTTTTCTATTAAATAACCTTTAAATATAAAGCACCTAAGGCTGGCTGTTGTTGTGAAGAAGCGATTTATAAGTAAAATTGAATTAAACTTAATCTCGGTTATCCTACTTTGATTAACCATAAAAGTGTCTTGAATTTTGTTATTTCTTAACCCACTGTCGCATATCTCCATCACAATATGAATGTGAGTAGAACAAAGGATACGCATGGATTATCCACAAGTCTGTGCAATCACACAGCTGATTAACGATGCGCCAGGTTACCACTGACTGTTCTCAGATGATGCTCTCACAAATGACAGCTTCTGCTCCCAAAATCCAACCATCACAAGCAACAAATAAGCAGTAATTTACGACTAGGGGCCATGCTGCTTTCACATATAACCATGGAATGACTAGAAAATATTGGTATAAGAGAAAAATAGTAGAAAATTTACATAAAAAGCAGAGACAGCAAGGAAAACAGGCTGAACAGATGCAAAATGTTGTCGCTCGCCCTGTCAAAAATCAGCTTCCGTTTTCATCATGTGGAGACTCGCTGGCAGGACTGTCTCCTCTTGTGGGCTCTGACCCGCAGCTTGAACTTTAGAATAAAATTATATGGAAAGTGGGTGACTCGATTGTTTATGCAGCACGAGTGGAAGGAAAGACTTGTAAATAAATGAATGAGAAAAAGTAAAGAACTTTTCCTCCTGCAGACAAAACTGAATTACAATTATGAGGCAAAATCAATTTGCAGTTTTCATGTCTTTTAGAAGGAAACGGTCAGGCATTCAAATTCATCCATTTATATAGCTCCTATGCCAGCTGATTTAATTCATGAATAATTTCATCCTCAGAAAGTCCATTTGTCCTTGTCCCTCACTCTTTCTGTACAGCTGTACAACCTACAGCCTCCCTGTGAGTCCTGATTGGAGGTGGCATTTTACTGGCACAATGAGAGCTGCCACTGCACTACGTGTCTCTGCTGGATCCAGCAAGACAGGCCCAGACGCTGCATGTCAGCTGTAATCCTCATTATGCTAATGAGCTTAGGAGCTATCATCACGGGTCAGATGGGAAAAGTAGCCCTAGCAGAGAGAGCGAGAGAGGAGATAATGGGAGTGGTGGAAGGTGCTGAACAAGTTGGAGTGTGTCAGAGAAACAACCTCTTTAAACAGAGCAGACGGCAGCGGGAGGAGGGACAGCTTTAAACTCCTGGGATGCTACTCGGGAAAGGAAGCGAGAATGGAAGATACGGACGCAAAGGGACGTCTGCTTGTACCTGGAAGCATACAATCAGCTGTCCAGACACAAAGAATAAAGTTGAAATAAAAACGGCCAAACTCGGGAGCCCTCCTGCAACCGACGGACACATCCAGATGTTGGTCAGCGCAGCAGATGGGACCCGCTGGTCTAGAGCAGACGCATCTGGATGGCTTTCCCCTGCAACCTCTAGCCCAAATCCCTGAATATGTCCTAAAAATATCACGCAGCACATTAAAATCTTTGCACTCCATCTGACAAGTACGACACAACCACTTTCCACAATTCCCTGATATCATCTGCCGCCCAAACTTGCAAAAAAGCAGCTCGTGACGGCCACTTAACAACTGACCAGACATAAGAGTGCATGGATTCTTTTTGGACATGGCGTCCAAACAGATTTCTGATTGTCGCCTTAGCTTGATCCTCGCCCACCATCTTATCGCTCTAACAGCATCATCAGAATGTGGAGTGTTTGAGAGCGCCCGAGCCCACTCGCGTGCCCACTGATGGCTCCGCAACGCCCAGCGACGAGGTCTCGTACCAGCGGAGCCCATGTGCGCAGAAGTGAAGCGCTGCACTGCGCCAGCCTCCCACATCTGCACTTCCTTCGCGGTGCCAAAGGCAACAAAGTCCATACGTCCACCCGTGTGGCATTTGATCACATGGACTAAACGTCTAAAAGGGTGGAAAGTTTTGTTGGCAACAGTCCTTACCTCCTCCTTGTGTGAGTCACCGGTGCGTCGGAGCTCACCGGGGCAGCTCCGCGTAAACGTTTGGACACCCGCAGAGGACAGCGGCGGAAGCACCTGTTCAGTGAGAGAATCCAGCAAGACCAGCAGTTACCTCCGTCCTCCTCACACACACTGATTCAACATTTCTCCCGACTCCTGCCTGCTCCGCCTGTCCCTCGCCTCCGGTCTCCTCCCCTCACTCACTCACTCACCAGCGCGCATTTACGCAGTCTCAAAAAGACCTCGTCCCCCCACCCCCATCCCCCGTTGGCAGCTGTGCCTCTTCATCATCCTGAAGTGAAAACACCCAACTCATCGCCACTTTATTTTATTTATTTATTTAGAAAAGCGCTATACAAATGCAGGCCATTTATTTTTAAACTCTGTGCCCGCGTCGCTGTTTCTTGGCTGAGCCGCCGCGCAGAGCCAGCACCAGGTAACTCCAGACTCACCTGAAAGAAGGGATGGCGCGTCTGTAGGTGAAGCTGCTCCACAAGCTGCTCTGCTGCCCCCGCGTGGACTGAGGGAACTCTCGACATCCGCTTAAAATACGCAAAATACGTCAGAGTGGAAACGAGACTTTTATTTAAAAAAAAAAAAAAAACTACACTTGTTATAAATGGGTCAGACCACACCCATCATCAAACTGTGATTTTTAACCTTTATATGATTTGAAAGTTTCATGAATGTTTTGCACAGAGGCGACTCTGTGTGTATAGGTCCAAAACAGTTCATTATGTATAGACTTCACATTGGGGAAGACGTTTACAAAACCTATGGATGGATTTTGTTGTTATTTCTGGTCTTCACTGATTCACTGATGTCCCTCTACAACAGAAGGAATAAATCAATCATCAGCAGCATATTTATCATGTATCAGAATCAGTCCTGACCTGGCTCGTCACAAGTCAAAGTGTCTGACCTCTGACAAAACAAAGCAGCTAATTACTGAATTGTTTGAGCAGAAGCATCTTACTAAATCCTCACTTCTAACATCTCAGTTAAAGCCAGCTTTACAATTTAATCTCATCCCAACCCACAGAGACAGGAAGCATTTTATCTCTCACACACAGACCTTATCATTCCGTAGTCTGACTTCACCATTTTCCACATGAAATAAGCTCTGGTATCTGCAGGAGTGTTTGGGCTTATGAAGAAGATAAGAATATTTCGCTTTTACAGTTAAGTGTCTGCAATGGTCACAACTAACAGAGTCATATAGTACAGCTCCGTACTGACATCAACACTGTACCTTGTGTCATTGAGCCTCACTGGGTCTCCTTTCTCTCTCTCACACACAGACACACAGAGTTACTGATCATAATAATCATATACATGAGTTTTATCTGTTTATGTAAATACAGCACATGTCGGAGAGGTTACCTTTATGGATTTGGTTATATAACGTTGATGATATCAGTACATTGAAAGCTACAGTGCTATGTGAATGCATTTGTTTGCATTACACCAAAGGTTGTCTTATTTTGCTGTGCAAAAAAAACAACCCACTTGCTAACACGTGAAAATTAAAAGCATTAGCATTTTATTGAACATCAATGGGAGCATCTCCTTTAACAATAGTCAAACCTTGGGAATTTCACCTCAGTACTCAGTTGTTCACAGCTATGTTGGCTTTGTTTTTACTAGATTTAATGTTGAAGTTTTGGTGCCTCCATCAAAAAATACAAACCTATGAATCAATGCAATATTTGACTGCATTTGTCAGAGGTTTTCACACATCCAGTGACCTAATGGTTCAACTTACACAAGTTATTGAAAGGTTCAGTGTTGTGATTAAAGTACAAATCAGTTTGGTTTGTAGGAATAAATAAATTACTGAGGTTTAAGCATGGTCTTTAAGCATGTGTTAACTGGCACTTTGAAATAAAATTTAAAAATGCCCCAGTGTTCAGTGGAAACATGAATTCAGTGTCCACAGAAACCAACATGGCAGCTGAAATGACCTGATGTGTGCTGAGCTATGAGATCATTTTAGCTTCCTTAAAGTTTATTAAAAAAAAAAAAAAAAGGAAAATTCCTGTTCTTCTGAACTGGTTTAACACTAAATAATGCATTTATTTAGTTGATTTTCTCCAAATATTGCAAACATGTGCACTACATTTGGATGGAATCCCATCTTCAATAAATAAAATACCTTTAATTTACATCATTTTAAATAAAAACTTTTAAATAATGTTAAAACTTGATAACTGGAGAGGTTTTTTTTTTTTTAGTAGTAGTTACTGTCCGAGTGATTTTCCAGTGAGTATGCAGGCTGTGATTTAGACCCTGACTGATACAAGTCAGCTGATATTATTGGCTGATAGCAGCATATTAAATGCTCTATTCAATATGTGCCAACCAAAACCTGGTTTTTAACATTACAAAGCAGAACATGGATTTTCTTTTTTCTTCTTTTT